GAAAGTTAATCTAGTAGCTGTGTGAAGAATGAATTAGCAGGAAAAGTCTGGAGGCAAGGCCAATTTTAGGAGACAGTGAAAGTCTCATGTATCTGAGTTGCCCAATGGTAGCCACTAGCCACATGTGGCAATTCAAATTAAGTAAAAGTAAAAATGCATGTCCTTAGTTGCAGTAGTCACCTTTCATGTGCTCAGTACTTACATGTGGCTAATGGCTACTGTATTGAGCAGCACAGATTAACATTTCCATTATTACAGAAAATTCCTTTATTAGAACATTTCCATTATTACAGAAAATTCCTTTATTATTATTTTTTAAATAGAGATGGAAGGTCTGGTGTGGTGGCCCACGCCTGTAATCTCAGCACTTTGAGTGGCTGAGGCGGGAGAATTGCTTGAGCCCAAGAGTTGGAGACCACCCTGGGAAACATAGTGAGACCTCATCTCTACAAAACTTAAAAAAAATTTAGCCAGGCATGGTGGTGCACACCTATAGTCCCAGCTTCTTGGGAGGCTAAAGCAAAAGGATTGCCTGAGCCCAGAAAGCCTAGGCTGTGGTGAGCTGTGATCTTGCCACTGCACTCCAGCCTGGGTGACAGAGTAAGATCCCAACTCAATCAATCAATCAATCAATCAATCAATCAGATAGAGATAAGATCTTTCTATGTTGCCCAGGTTGGTCTTGAACTCCTGGCTCAATCATTCCTCCTACCTTGGCCTCCCAAAGTGCTGGGATTATAGGTGTGAATCACCATACCAGGACTTTAACAAAAAGCTCTATAGGGCAGCAATGCCAAAATCAATTCCCTTAGTAAAAATGGCATTCATTTTACATAGTCATGAATGAAACTGTAAGTTGTACCTTAAAAACTGGGCCATTCATTGTCCCTAATCTAATTCTAGGCTAAGCGTATTGAGAATCAGAGCAATTGTGGATACTATCATTTCAAGTATAGAATGCAGCTTAGAATGGCAAAATCAGATTTTGTGTTCATCACTTAGATACTTAAAAATAGCATTTAAATAAGTAGCCCTTAAATATGTTTTTATTATCCATTTCTCTTTCCCTACCTACTCCTACTTTAACAAAATTAAATGCAATTCACTTTTTAGTAACTACCTCTACTCGGGTCAGAATATTTGCTATTTGCAAAACTTGTAATGGTTTTGTCTGATGTTGTCATGATTGTTTAAATTTTTGATGATCACTCTTTGCCATATATCAGCCTTCTAGCATTGCTACCTTTGAAGACTTTTCATTTCATTGATCTAGAAATCATTTTTTTCCTTTACCTTAGTGTAAGCCTCATCCCTCATTTTTTTTCCCTTTTACCTTAGTCTAACACCTCACCCATCCAGTTCAAGAGCAAGCCTAGTAACAGTTCTTCCAAAAGATAACACAATTCTGTTCTTTTCTTCTTTTTCTTTTTCTTTTTTTTTTTGAGTCAGTCTTACTCTGTCGCCCAGACTGGAGTGCAGTGGCATGCTCACAGCTACTGCAGCTTCAACCTGCTGGGCTTAGGTGATCCTTCACCTCAGCCTTCCAAGTAGCTGGAACTACAGACAAATGCTACCATACCCGGCTAGTTTTTAATGATTTATTGTAGAGACGTGATCTCACCAAGTTGCCCAGGCTGGTCTCAAACCCCTGCACTCAGGCAGTCCTCTCGCCTTGGCCTCCCAAAGTGCTGGGATTACAGGCTTGAGCCACTGCACCTGACTGCTTCTAATTCTTTCTAAAGCAGGCACCTCTGCTTCTAGCTTACACTCTATAGCACCTCCTTATTGTCTGGAATTACGTTGTTTATTTAAGTGTGTACACTCTTTCTCCCCTTACTAGAAAATAAGTTCCACAAGGGCAGGAAACATTTTTATTCTCTGCTCTATCTCCAGTACCTAGAACAGTGCCTGGTTCATGTAGTTGTGCTCAAAAAATGTTTAATAATACTGACTGACTTTTCTAAAGGAGATAGAAGAGGAACTCACCTCTCTTTCCCTCTCTTCCTTGCTGTCTGTGTCTGTGTCCCCACTTCCCCCTACATACATAAAAGGAATCTCCATGTGTCTTCAATGTGAATATCCTTCTCACATTTATACTTAGTGTACCAGTGACTTTGGGGCTGAACTTCATCTTTTACTTTATGAAATCATGGCTACAGCTTTTTGAATGGTTGGCTTCAGTTGGAAAGCATATTGAACAATACATCTGGAAATATTCTGTCATATTTTGATCTGAAAAACCCTAGAGAGCCAGCTGCTGATTTGAAAGCCTTTTATTATGATACAGACAGTCTATTGTCTACAAGAGCACAGGCTATGACACAGTAGTAGATGTGTGTTGCTTTTTCTGAGTTATTAACTTGAGAAAAGTAACTTGTATTCACTAATTTATGCATGACTTGTATTCCATGAGAATAGTTTATTGTGTTAGTTTCTTTAGCTGATTTACTGTGAATTTAGGGATTTTATTTTACTCCATTTTTTTCTTCTTTAAGGTCCATCAAAAGTTAAGTGGCTAGAGAGTAGGACTGAGATACATTCCATTCTGGGTTTTAAAAGTTTCATGGATTTTGCATTAAAATATGGTTTATATTTATAATTCAGCACTCTTTGGTGGCTTTATATTGATAAGTGGGTGAATTTCACCATTTTACTATAATAAAGCTTACTCTTGTACTCTTTAATATGTGATATAGTGGAAGAAAAATTGACATTCAAACCCTGCATAGGAATAATAGTGAAGAAAGTGAGAATGTGTACTATTTGTAGTATAATACAGGCACTTGCACATATATAATTTGGTTAATGTAATATTTAATATTTGGTAATTAAAAATGATTTTTGACCACTCTAGTTGGAAGATATATAAAATGATGATAATTACATACTAAAATTATTAGATAGGAAATAATTGCATCTAAGTAACTTACAGTAACATTTTAGTATTACTTTTTAAATTACAAAAATTATTTAAAAATTCAGATTTCAGAAAATTAAAAAAATAGGAAATGCAGATACAAATTTACCACAATTTCACAGGCATTAATAAAACAACTTTTAACATTTAAAAATATTCTTGCTGGGCACGGTGGCTCACGCCTGTAATCCCAGCACTTTGGGAGGCAGAGGTGAGAGGATTGCCTGAGCCCACAGGTTCGAGACCAGCCTGGGCAACATGATGAGACCTTGTTTCTAACTCAAAAAATTAGCCGGCTGTGGTGGCACACGCCTGTAGTTCCAGCTACTTGGAAGTTTGAGATGGAAAGATTGCCTAGTCCAGCAGGTCGAGGCTGCCATGGCCATGAGCGTGCCACTGCACTCCAGCCTAGGCAACAGAGTGAGACTCCAACTCCAAGATAAATAAATAAAAAAGATAGAAAATATTATTTCAGTCCAGGCACAGTGGCTCATGCCTGTAATCCCAGCACTTTGGGAGGCCGAGGCAAGAAGATTGCTTGAGCCCAGGAGTTTGAGACCTGCCTGGGCAGCACAGCATGCCCTCATCTTTACAAAAAAAAAAAAACACATTAGTTGGGCATGGTGGTATGCCTCTGTAGTCCCAGCTACTTGAGAGGCTGAGTTGGGAGAATCCCCTAGGCCCAGGAGTTTGAGGCTGCAGTGAGCTGTGCTCATGCCACTGCACTCCAGTCTGGGTAACAGAGTGAGACCCCCAACTCCAAAAAAAAATTCTTTCAGTGTTTTTGCTTTATATACATGGAGTTTTTTGTTTGTAATCATAGTGTTTTGTTATTTGTATTCTTTCTTTTAAATGAACTATAATATCATAAACATTTTCCCATAATGGTGAATCTTTATAAACATTGGTTTAATGGTCCCCATAGTACTTAATCTAACAATATATCTTAATTTACTTAACTGTTCCTCTTTGTTGGATAAGTTATTTAAAAAGTATGTTAACTTTTATCTCTAACACCATAGTGAATACTTTTGTGAATATTGTTATTACCACATTTGGTGTTATTGCTTATAAAGTATATTCTCATAAGTGGAATTCCTAGGTATGGCATTTTCACGTCCTCTAACACACTCTAGCAAATGATTTTCCAAAGAGAATATAATAGTTTACATTGCCACCTGCAGGGTATAAAACTATCTATTCTGTTGTTGCATTTGGGGTTATATGTTATTTCTTTTTAGTTGCTGTATAGTTAGGGAAAAATATCATGTTTAAATTTCAGTTTTTTTGATTACTAGTGAATTTACATATTTTCATGTCAGTGTCAGAGTCATAACAGCTTCAAATATTTTTTCCTGTTCCAGTAACTTCTATTTTTTTCTATTCAGACATTTTAGTTTTACTTGATTCATGTACTTTATGTCATCTTTTAGAGATGAAGCAGAGTTTTTCAGCTGCATACACACACACATACACACACATATTTATTAATGACTGATTTCTCTTTTTTTTCCTCAGTAATGCCAAAATTAAGTAAGTAATCAAATGAGTTCTCTAGAGAAGGACTAATATATTATGTTTGTATTCCATATTGTTATTCAAGTATATCGTGGAGGTTTGTCATGGGAGTAATCTTAAAAGTCCAGAAATTTGCTGGGCACGGTGGTACACATACCTGTAATAACAGCACTTTGGGAGGTGTAGGCAAGAGATTGCCTGAGTCCAGAGATTTGAGACCAGCCTGGGCAACGTGGTGAGACCTTGTCTCTACAATAAATAAAAAAATTAGCCAGGCATGGTAGCATGCCTGTGGTTCCAGCTACTTGGAAGGCTGAGGCAGAAGGATTGCCTGAGCCCAGCAGATCGGGGCTGCAGTGGCCATGATCATGCCACTGCACTCCAGCCTGGGTGACAGAGTGAGACTCTTACTACAAAAAAAGAAAAAGTCCTGAAATTTCCTTTGAATGCAGAAACTTTAATGAAATTTATGTGTAAAATATATATTTCAAGTGTATTTAAGTTATCATTTTTAAAAGTCTGAGAATTTATTTTGGAATCATGAATATTTATTTTTTCCTTATAGGTTGGAAAAGAGACTGTGCAAACCACTGAGGATCAGATTTTGAAGAGAGATATGCCACCAGCATTTATTAAGTGAGTAATAAAATATTCTTCTGTTGCTAAGTAGAATAATAATACTATTACTGGGAAGAAAAAGTAACTGATTCCAGTAACAATTTTTTTTTTGGTATAAAACTTAAGTTTACAGCTGAAATTTTAATTTATACCTTCCAACACTTTTTAAAAAAAATTATTGATTTTAGTTACTTAGGCATTTTTGACAATAGTTTTTAACAAAACCATGACTTCTGAGTTTGGCTTTTCAGAATGAAAAGGATTTTGAAACACATTCTGACCATAGCATGCACGAATCTGTATTGTACACGAAACACCTTTGGACGTAAGGAAATAACATTAGGTATAAACTTTGAAAAAATTATTGTTGCATATTTCAGTTGTAAATTTAAGTTAAATTTACATATCTCCTCGTACTTCTATAAGTAATTTTTAGACTTTTTTGACTTATTCTGCCTAAAACAAGCAGAGATACTAATTTTTGTTTAGGTAAAGCTTCTCAGGTTCTTATATTGTCTTTGCTTAGTTTTGTTCTACATGGTAGTCAAGTCCTAAGGAAAAGTAAAGGCTGATATATAAGCCAATAAAGTAGAACTCATAGAAGTCAGTGAGAATAAGGTAAGACTATTAAGGGAAAAAAAAGACTGTATGAGGCCCCAGGTTCCATCCCTGGCACCTCCACCCAATAAATAAATAAAAAGGGGTGCAAAGGATTTCTTTTCAAAGGGCACCTCAAAAGAGAAAATCCAAATGGCCAACGGATATAGGAAAGCACGTTTGTTCTATCTCATTATTCATCAGAGAAGTGCAGATTATTCTATTAAGCATTCCTAACTTAAGTCTGATAATATCAATTGTTGATAAGGATGTGGAACAACTGGGATGTTCCTATACTGCTGTTGGGAATGTAAATTGGTGCAACCACTTTGGAAAACAATTTGATGTTAGTAAAGTAGAAGACAAACGATTCTTCTTCTGATATGTTCCCTAGAGATACTCATGCACATACACACTGAGACCCATGTGCAAAAATTTCTATAACCATTGTTCATGATGATTGTATATAGAGAAGAATGGATTAAAAATAATCACGGTGTAGTCAGACATTGTCATATTAATCATTAATAAGAGTGAGAAATTTTCACTTCAAAATGGTTAATTCTATGTTATGTGAGTTTCACCTCAACTGAGAAAAGGAAAGAATGAATGAATCTCAAAATAATTGTGAGAAATTAATGATAGGCAGATAGGTAGGTAGGGTAGATGGATAGATTCTTTTTACTTAAAGTTAAAAAACATGCAGAAATAAACTATGTTGTTTAGATGTGCCTATTTATATAGCAAAAAGATAAAGATGACCCTATATACACCTCAGTTCAGGCCCTATCCCTGGTCTGTGTTGTGAATGGGAGGACATGAAAAAAAAAGATAAAGATGAGTAAGGAGATACTGATTACCAAAGTCATGGTCGTCATGTCCATGGGAGAGAGGAAGAAGTTTATACTCGGTGAAAGACACACTTAGAGGCTTCTAAAGTGATAATAGTGTTTTGTTTCTTGATTTAAGTGATGAGTTACATGGGTGGTTGTTTCCTAATTATTCATTATATTAATCATATGTTTATGCAGTTTTCTGTATGCATGTTATATATCACAATTTTAAATAAAGCTAAAAGTGTTCTTTTATTTTTATCCTCCGTATATTCTATTATTTTCATTGAACAGATTTAAAAATTTCACCCATATTGATGTCTTATTGTTTCTAACTTACTTGAGTGGGTGCTTTATGGAACTGTGTTTCTGTTAATTCTGTAAAATATCTTCATGTGTCAGGTATTGGAAGCATCTGGTTTTTGTAGAGCCCGTTTAATGGTGGGAGAATCTTTTTTGTCTTACCTTTTTTGGACTTGGTGGTCTCAGGGTTCCTTCCAGCTCTGACCAACATGAGCCTCTTTTGTTTGTTTACGTGCCATTCCATCAGCCTGGTAATCTTAGGAGGAGTCTTATGCAGCCAGTTAAACCTATTATAATTAAACTTGCATTTACTTTATATTAAAAACACAACTCTGCTGGTACCAGGTTGTCCCTCACCCACTGGAAGGTACAGGCATGGTGAGAGAGTGAGTAGGGAGTTTCACTATCAGGTAGGTAGTTGGACTAGGTGACCCAAAGAAAAATTACTTTCCTCCCTGATATTTTAGTCATTTGCTTGGTAAATGAATTTTGTCAGGAAACTCATTTCTGTTCATTCTGAAATATCTATGTGCTCACGTAGGCTTCTTTGGGAACTTCGAAAAATTGAAGAGGATCATACCCTAGTTGTGATAAAAATTACAAAAAATGTTGGTGTCTTTAAAACAAAACGAAATTTCATTGATCACTCTTTGTAGTAACAAGGGCACCAATTTCTTACTTTAGTAATTTGGAATTTTTTTTTTGAGTTGGAGTCTCACTCCGTCGCCCAGGCTGGAGGGCAGTAGCACTCTCATGGCCACCGCAGCCTCGACCTGCTGGGCTCTGGCGATCCTTCCGCCTCAGCCTTCCAAGGAGGTGGAACTACAGGCGCACACTACCACGCCCGGCTAATTTTTTGATTTATTGTAGAGATGAGGTCTCGCCAAGTTGCCCAGGTGGGTCTCGAACCCTGCAGGCTCAGGCAAACCACTCGCCTCAGCCTTCCAAAGCGTGGGATTACAGGCTGAGCCACAGAGCCCGGCAGTAATTTGGAATTTAAAGGAAAGAATTAAGCATTTATCCTGCCTTTTTTATACAAACTTTATTTCAGAGTAGTCTAATAGCTCTAGTTGATAAAGGAATTCTATCCAATACATGTACAAGATTTGAACCTTTATTATACCATGGAGAAAAAATCCTAGTCTCCATGGGAATCGGGGAAAAACAATGTGTAATGACCAACTGAAAAAGTTGCTAAGCAGTTTTTTAAAAGTATATAACTTAATATGTACACTCTGAAATGCTGCTTGAAAATAGCCTGGAGTACAAACAACAATATGACTGTGGTTGTCAAACAAATTTTGGGGAAACAGATATTCATTTAATATTACAATTTACGCTTTTCTTGCTTTTCTATAGAATGCAAACTGAAGCAGAAACTAGCAGATGCCTTGACTTGAAGGGGGAGAGGACAGACAGGCAAACAGATGGAAGCAATTAATGACATCCTTGGAACTGTTGACTAGGACATTCTTTTGAGCTGTTTGGTTGATGTTTAGAAGTTTCCAGGGCATGACCGACTGAAGCTTCCTCTGTAGTGTACTTTTACAAGGATTTCTAAATAGTGACTGCTTAGGCAACATTAAAGAATAAAATCAGTTTAAAAAATGTATTATTACATAAGTATCTACTCCTAGAATGAATGTTAGGATGTCAGGGCTAGAGAAAACAGAAGATATATGGCCTGTAGATAGAATTATGCCTAAGCCATTTAGTATACGTTTAAAGATTTTTTTCAGGGAAGGATATTACATTTTCAGAATTTGAGAATCTCAAAAATCACATCACAGGCTATTTGTGTGACTGGCAATTAAGGACATTTTGGAAAATGCTGACAAATGGATTTAATATCATTTAATAATGATGTATTTGATTTGTAAGTATTAATGAGGGACTTCCAATGCCCAGGCAATTCCTTATTGTTAAAGTGAGAACTGTTTTAATGGAGAACAAGATTTGCATTGTCACCACCTTTCTCTTGGGTGGAGCAAAAGTTATCTGATCCCTGATTGCACTGGTAGATAGTGTTCACAATTTACTAATTTTACCCAAGATTGCAATAATAGCCACACTGTTGCACAAGAGGTGTAGGGTTGCATGATGATTGCCATAGAAACTGCCCTGATCATCATAAACTTCAGTGGTGCATTGATCATGATGTATTATTAAAACGTTGGTCAGACTAACTCTACAAGAAATAGATCACGGGCAACCCCTTCGGGTCCCCTCCCACTGTGGGAGCTTTTCTGTCCTCTCAATAAATCCTGCTTTAAAAAAAGAAAAAATAAAGAAATAGATCAGTTGTTCCTTTTGAGACTGAGAGCAGGGTAGTCAGCTACTGTACTCCATGTCTGCATTTTTTTTTTTTTTTCTGAGTTGGGGTCTCATTTGTTGTCCAGGCTGGAGTGCAGTGAGCATGGTCACGGCTCACTGCAGCTTCAAGCCTCTGGGCTCAGGTGGTCCTTCTGCCTCAGCCTCCTAAGTAGCTTGGATTATAGGCTTGTGCCACCACACCCAGCTAATTAAAAAATTTTTTTTTTGTAGAAATGAGGTCTTGCTTTGTTGCCCAGGCTGGTGTTGAACTCCTGGGCTCAAGCAATCCTCCCACCTCAGCCTCCCAGAGTGCTGGGATTACAGGTGTGAGCCACTGTGCTTAAGTCATGTTTGTGTTTTTTATCACTGTCAGTTGTCATCATCATCACCATCACCATCAGACAGCTATAGGAGTAGTTAATATTTATATATAATTGATTAATGGGCTAGACAAACTCATTGGTTAATTGAGCATTTATTGATTACCTTTTATGTGTCTAGCATGCTAAATGCTATATATAGATAGTACTTCTTACCGGTGTATAATGAATGATCACTTTTGAGATGTATTGCAAATAAAATATTAATAAAGTCCCAAAGGCTATTAGTGCTTTACTTTAAAAAAAAAACTAAATTGAGGCTAGGCATGGTGGCTCACGCATGTAATCCCAGCACTTTAGGAGACTGAGGTGGGAGGATTGCTTGAGTCCAGGAGTTTGAGACCAGCCTGGGTAACATAGTGAGACCTCATCTCTACAAAAAATTTAAAAATTAGCTGGGTGTAATGGTGCACACCTCTATTACCAGCTACTTGGGAGGCTGAGGTGGGAGAACTGCTTAAGCCCAGAAGTTTCAGGCTGTGGTGAGCCATGATCCTGCTCCTACATATCAGCCTGGGCAACAGAGTGAGACTGAAAAACAAACAAACAAACAAACACTATATTGAACATACTTAATTTCACAAGTATAATA